GATGGTGGGGCTGGTGAAGAGCAATGACTGGCATGCCTGTCAGGCCTGAAATCGGTGTGGTATTTGTTACATGGCTAGCCCTGGAGTATGACAAAGAGAAAGCGAGGAGAACCCAACAGGGGCTGTTCCATTAGGAGGTGCCTTTAACCCTTTGCCCTGCTGCAGGTCTGATTAGAATTCCCCAGCTACCAGCCCCCTGTATTCATAATGCAAGGAAAACCCAGTTAGACCCTTCTTTGTATTCCCTGGTTCTTTCTTCCTCACCTATCAACAGATTGTGGATATTTTTTTTAACTTTTAAAATTGTGTGTATTTTAATTTTGTTGTAAATTGATTTGAATCTTTTTGAGAAAGGGAACAAAAAGTATACTGTCTGGCAATATTACAAAGGCACTGAAACACTGAGGCCCAGCATGTCACCTTGTGGTGCTCTCTGCAGTTTTTCAGGGGACATCAGCATTTGCGAAGATTGCAGCAAAGCAGTAGTTCACTGAGGGATCAAGAATGTTTTATTCTGCCTCAGAGCTTCCCAACAGTAACTCTCTTGCCTGAGTTGTCAAAGTGACTCAGGAGAAAGCAGATAAGCTTGGAGGCATGTGTACTGTTGCATACATAATATTTGAGTCTTATAATGAAATCCAGTTGGGAACAGAGTAATTACTGATCAGCTGTTTTCCAAGCAGATACCTGTCTGGGAGTTAACATCTCCAGCTCTAGTATTTCCTATTGCTGGGACCATGTATGCCTTTATGTGAAATGATGTGCTTTCGGATGTGCTGTTCCATTTGCCCTCCAAAAGGTCACCATCCAGGGAGTTTCGTCTGTAGGGCTGCCGCTGCTCTGCTCTGCCACCAGCACTAAGCCCTCTGGCCATCTCCAATGATAGGAGAAAGAAACTGCTTCCAAGAGATGCGGGGTGGGGAGAGAATCTCATCTCGGCAGACGTACAGACGAGTTGTGCTTGCAAAGGCCTTGGCAACCTGTGCTGGGAACAGGTGGCAGGTCAAAGGAGGAAACAAGCCATGGCCAGCTGGCGAGCACCTGCTTGTCTGGCAGAAGCAGTGTGGCTTAGTGAGTTAGCCATGTTGAAACGAACCTTGGTTTCAACATGGCTTACTGTGACATCTGAACTGGCCCCCTGTTTCTCCACCACTTCAGCTGACAGGAGAGTCTTGTGGCTGCTTTGAATCCTTGGAACACACGGGGCCCTTTCTGGCTCTCACCCACCCTGCCCATTTCTTTGTTAACTGCCTGATCTTTCTTTCTGTTGCACCCTCATGCATTCGCCCAGCTTACATTACATTCCACACTCCGCTTCTATCTTTTCATGTACCCTGTTAATAACTGATTCTGCAGTCAACAAAGCGATCCTTTTCCATAATCTTTTTATTTTGTTTTGGTCTCATAAATTAACCTGTTTTGCTCTTACTGAAACTTGGATCTCCTCCAAGTTTGCTCTGTTGCACCCTCATGCATTCGCCCAGCTTACATTACATTCCACACTCCGCTTCTATCTTTTCATGTACCCTGTTAATAACTGATTCTGCAGTCAACAAAGCGATCCTTTTCCATAATCTTTTTATTTTGTTTTGGTCTCATAAATTAACCTGTTTTGCTCTTACTGAAACTTGGATCTCCTCCAAGTTTGCTCAAGCCACTCTTTCCTACAGCTCGCTCGCTCGCTCGCTCGCTCGCTCGCTCTCTCTCTCTCTCTCTCTCTCTCTCT